GTGGCCAAAGGGATTTCTCTGCCCTTTTGTTTTCCAGAGGGTAGAGGGAGAAAAGCAGAGAAGGAAAGTGGAAACGTCAGGAAGTAAAGCAGGAAATCCAAGAGCTCACAAAAGGACTGGAARCAGGGTTTGGGGCTGGTTGGTGCTATTGAAGAGGATGAACAAAACATCTCTTCTGGCATTATTTTCATGCTTGTGGTGACTGGGAAAAACAGATTTTGTACATTCTTTGCAATTGAATAAGATTACCTGGAGAAATGTCACCAGGCCCTTTTCTAAACACTGAGGGAATGTGTGAAGCAGTTCCCAAATACAAGTGGAGTTCACTGCTGGTCCTGCTGAGGCAAACAGGAGAAGGTCTTGCAGAAACTCATATCACACCTCGGGAAAGGGTGAAACCACAAGTCAGAAATATCACAGAACTACCAGAATATAATCTCAGGATGGCAAATTAATGATGCTCAAAGAGAAGGACAATCCATGCTTAGAAAGTGGAGAAAAAAAGGTGTGAGTAAATTTGGAAACAATTCCTGCTCTGTAATTTAGTTATTTGACATGGGGGAGCTGTTCATGTTTCAAGCACAGCTCCTGCTTTKTATGAAGAGATAATCACAAAAGTCCCAACATAATCACCAGAGACCAGGATATTTTACACGAGGTTGTTGAACAGAGCTATGATGGGATAGAGAAAGGATTAAAGGAACTRAAATATCTGCTTCAGACAGAAACCAAGAAGTCACAGACCAGGCTGTGTGTCTTCTGTCTGGAAGCAAGTAAATGAAAACTTTGCCAAAACCCCTCAATTTGCTGTCCTCTGGGCTCCAAAATGCACAGCAGGGATCTGGGTATCCAAAGGCAAGGGAAAACTAATAATCAATTTGATTTAAGGACAGCTAATCACTGAATCACAGASAGGCTGAGGCATCATCTAGAGCAAGTAGTCCAGGAAAAGGTGATTAATTCAATTAATTTGTGGTGAGCATCCTCTCSTGGCTCCAGGGTGAGAACAGCAATAGCTTTGTTCTCTGGAGTACGGGAAGTTTGCACAAACTCTGTAGCCCCAAAAGGGGTAAAGTTTCCATCTTCCTCAAAAAAACATGAAAGAAAAGAATCCTGACAATAACYTGCACAGTGGAAAGGTATAAAACCCCGCAAGAAACTTTTAAAAGAGGAGACAGATCTTATTTTTTTTTTTAATTCCTAAGGAGAAAGTAGCTCAAATCTACTTCTTCCTATGATTTTGGTCCAAATAAATAAAATGGGATATTGAAYCCAAGTGGGATCATTATCATGAATAGGATTTCAGCCTGCCAGTGTTTGGGAACTGTGGAATTCAAGGTTACTAAAAAGAATATCAAACAATGAATGTCTGTAATGAAAAGCATTTCAACAAGAACATTAATATTTCTTAAAAGACAGAAAAAAAAAAAGACAAAGCCATCTCCTTTGAATTGCTGCAATGAGACTGAGCAAAGAAAAATTCTAAGAATGTGGATAAAATTGTTTTAGGTTGATGTGAAAATCATCACTTACCTACAGTAGTTCAAATGCCATGGTGTCCAATTAATTAATTATTTTTCTTTTGTCCCCCCCCACTCCTTTCTTTTTCAGTGTCAGTATTTTAGGCTTTGTTGGGATGAAGACTAACACTGAAATAAGGACATTATTTCATGAGTTAAGCTTAATTTCGTTGCAATTTCCGATGGGAAAGTGGTTAAAACGATATTCCTACAGGCATGAAACAAAGGCAGGAGGGAGCAGGTGCTTTGTAATTAGTGATACCCCTGCACCACCCACAGCAATTACCTGCTGATCCTTTATGGAGCTGGGCCATCTGCAAAAGGGAGGAGAAGAAAAGAATCAGAGGAAAGTTTGATAAAAACAGAGCTACAGACAAGYGAGGGGTGCAGGCAGCACAAATACCTGCCCTTGGGAAAAGCTGAGGKWAARAARGCAGGGTRAAGTCCTGGCTTTATTAAACYATCTGAGTTGTATTTCAGGAGATGYAGGGGAGTATTCTGTGGATTKCAGCAGAAACTAAAAGGGTTCAACTCTTRTTTAAGGCTTGGAAGGCCTTTGGTTTAAGTAATCTTAGATTGGTTAATCCTTTGGTTTAAGTAATCCTACATTTCTTAGACAATGGTGAGGTTTATAGGAGAGGGTGGTAGAAGGGTGAGGGAGAGGGTGGATAGGATGGCAGCCTGGACATTTGTGGGTTTGTTAATGTGTCAGTGTTTTGTGTAGTTCGTGGTGTGAGGGGAAACTGCTGGGCAGAGGTAGAAGAATAGGCTGAGCAGGGACAGGAGGGAGATGATTGCTGCTGCTGGGGCTRTTTCTTGTTTAGTTCTTGAATGAGGAGTCATTTAGACAGGAATCCCATCAGGGCTGGAAGGCCAGAGAGGGAGAGGAGTGTTAGGAAGAGAATTGCATTGAGTTTTGTTCATGCCATTATTAGCATTGATAGTTTTAGGACTTTTATCATATTAAGGGTGAGGAATACAGCTGCAGTTATTAGGCTGTAGGGGTTAGAAGTTGAGTAGGGTAAGTTTTGGGTTGAAGGTGATGATAATGGCTATTCACCCTAGGTAAGAGATAGAGGAAAAAGCTAGGATTTTAAGGATTTGAGTCTGGTTTAGTCCTTCTCATCCACCTAATACTGTGGAAAGGATGGCCATGTAGTTAGGAGGTTAAAAAGAGGTTGGTAATTAATGGATCTCAGTTTAGTTACAACTTGCGGTGAAGCAGATCTGAAAGCGGTCAAAATAAATACTTTTCATTTATTTATTTAGGAATTAGCCATGAGGGGAAGTGTCTCTGTTAACCTTCAGCTGCATGGGACCTCTCCTCACCAGCTGGGCTCTTCATTCCCTCACATTTTGGCCCAGGAGCTGGAGAGCTGGGAGGGCTCCCTGCATCCCAGTGATCTCCCAGCAGTGGAGCTGAGCTGGGGGAGCTGGCAGAACCAGCAGTGGCGCTCCAAAACACTCCTGCAAGCCCAGGGACCAAAGATTTATTTTTTATCCCTGCTATGACACCAATTTCCAGAAGGCACTCAGGATCCTGCAGCAGTTGTGTAGTTCCCAGGAGAGTGAGCAAACAGAAAATCTGAATTTTTCTCTTTTTTTTTTTTTCAGTCTGCCTCCTCCAAGCATTGTGGCTCCTGCCACGAGACTGTCTGATTAACTCTGCCAAGATCCCACCACTGTTTTCAGTTCTTTAGTAAAAGCAGGAAAGTTTGAGAACATGGGTCATGGTTTTCTGTACTTTTGTTTAAACCCTGGCCTGTGCTGTGTGCACCAGTATTTAATGTACATCATTTAAGGGTTTTTTTACATTATTTCAGTACAAAGGAGAACAGAGATCAAGCAACTTTGGTATTCAAACTTAGTTTCTTTCTTTGTTAGAACATTACAGAAAAGGTACACGGGTGGAAGGAATGGAGCCCGTTATTTGGTATAAAAACACCTTTCTGGTTTTACCTTTCTGGGGATGTAAGCAGTGCTAACCTAGGCCGAGACACCCTATTCTAGGGACTCCTCTTCCTTCTCTCTCTCACAGATTTCATCTCCCAGTGAATGGAAGATTTTCAGTGCTGAGTTTTAAATGAGAACATTCAAGAGCAGCCCACAGGAAGCCCTTTCTCTCTGCAGGACCAGGAATGGGACTCCCTCCAATGTCAGATTGATTTAACTTACAGATATTTTGTTAAATTCAGATGGACTGGTCATTTCAGTGCAGTCTTTCTTTTCTCCAGCTGTGCATTACCAGGGCCTGATTCTAGGAAATGAAGARCACGAGGCCAAACCTCCCTGAAATTTCCACTATTTGTGCTTGTCAAGCACATCTCAATTTTTATAGAACTCTGTCATCTTCTGGATGGCAAGGGAAATGTTTAAAGCTCAACCCCTTGTTCACAACTGAATCTCCGATGTGGACTCCCTGCAACTTGGCAGAAGTTATGTTCCAGAATCAGAACAGGAAAGTCATAAATCATGGAATGCTTTGGATCTGAAGAGACCTTAAAGCCCATCCAGTGCCACCCCAACCATGGCAGGGACACCTTCCACTGTCCCAGGGTGCTCCAAGTGCCACCAACCTYGCCTTGGACACTGCCAGGGATRAGRCCTCCCCATCCTCACAGRGAAGAATTCCTTCCCAAAATCCAATCTGCACCTGTTCTCTTTCCCATCACATTTGAGCTCTATTCTAAGAGAGGATTCATCTGTTGGTAAACAGATTTCTACTGACAAAGCTTGGCCAATGCAAATGCCACATTGCCAAACTTCCATTTATTTGAATGACAAGGTCAGTTTTAGTTTAACAAATTCAAGAATAATCTGGCTGTGTATTGAAGTGTTTGAAGTAGCTGAAAACCTCACTTTCCTTGGACATATAATTGATAATTTCCTTGGAAAAATAATTGATAGAAAAATAATTGATAATGACTGGTCATAAAATAAAAATAAATATATGTAAATTAAAAAAAAAAAAAAAAAAAAAAAAAAAAAAAAAAAAAAAAAAAAAAAAAAAAAGCCAAGCACAATTTTTCTAACTCCTGTAAAATGTAAAAAGAGAATGGAGCCTCTTATGGGCAGAAGAGCCATGAAAGTGCTCTACCTTCTCTATGAGCATAAATTTGGTAAGTGTAAAAYATGCTCTGGGAGGACAGCATCACCGAGATAATAGCCTATGACAAGTCAGAATGATAATACTTGAAATAAAAATTATATTTGGGGTTTTTTTTTAAGAAAAGAAAATGTGAAAGTCATTGACAAAATCATTACATCCAGCTAATTTACCTCTGAATGCAGCTCAGTTTGCCTCACACCTGTTTTGGCACAGGTGACAATCCTACAACAGCTACAGGCAGGCGCTGTGATTTTCAGTCCTATCACACAGCACAAAACCTGCCCACGTTCATCCTGCCATACAACCACAGCTGTTAGTTTCTTCAGCAGCATTCTGAAGGCTCTCAGTCCCTTCCATCCCCAACACACACYCTAGAGGTGTCCCCTCCTCCTGCGCTGGTTCTTGCTGGGGCCCTTCAGGTGCTTCCCGCTGCYGTGGAAGAGCCGCACCATTTCGTGGTCTTTGTTATCCAGCACTCTGGGCAGAAAGAGGGAGGATTTCTGTGTCCTGCGGGTCTTAAAGCCCCTCCTGGGTCGTCCTTTGCCATTGATGGAGACATACCAGAGTCTCTCAGCGCTGGCTTTGCGCCTGGGGCCGGCCCTGCTGGGCACGGTGCGGTACAGGCGCGACGCGTACGTGTTGTAGCCCAGCTCGTGGATCCTCTCCACAAACTCACACTCGGAGTTGTAACTCTCCTGCAGAGRAAAAACAACAAAATCTTAAACCGTGCTCGGTTCTAGGGCAAGGACAACAGTGTATTTGGTGAGAAAACCTCAGGCTAGTGCTGCAACAGGCAGAAGGGAAGCGCTGAGCTTGAGCAARGTGTTCACTGTCAGCAGGGTGAGCACACACTGCACATCAGAGACAGGAACAGGCCCAACACCAAAGCGAAAACAGAAAAATAATGTGTGAACAGGACCGACTAGCTCTGCTGATTGTTCAGCTGTAATTTTTTTTTTTTGTGCTAATGAATTCAATGCAGTGGTGAACTGGGCGGGTGATTTGATTGTTGCCTGTCAACCTCTGCCATCTATTGAAAAGGGAAAATCCTTCAGTGTAATGTCAGATGTGTCCCTGATGCCTGATAATTTTGCTTTTCCTTTTTACACTTTCTGTATTCTCTATGCATCCCCCTGTACCCCTTACCCTGCATGTTTATAATTGCTGTACCCTGATATTCCAGCTTAGTTTAGGAGTTCTGCAGGGCAGAGACACCAAACATCCTGAGGAAGGGCTCAGTGTGCCCTGTGCTATCTTAAACCTGAGGCTCCAGCCTTGGGTGAAGCCTTCTCTCTGGAACATCTTGTGTAAACGGGGCTCAGGCCTCATTCTGGGGGGGATTCATTAGAATAGGGGGACATTGCTGCATTTGTTATGTTTCTTATTGGGGAATCCTAGATAGATATGCTAATTCCTGAAACCTATAAAMCTTRTAYCCGTGCTGTACACGGGGGTGCATTCTGCCATCAAGTTGTGCACCTGGGATCCCAAATACTGAGGTAAAACCCTTTTATCCCCTAAACCGTGTCTGTGTCATTATTAAAAACTGGCCTTTCAAGACAACATCCCTTAAATTGGTACACCGGTCACTGGATACACCTGCCACAGCCAGATCACAGTGGGTGTTTGAGCAGTAAACTKCATCCTCATGGAACTCCTGTGTTGGCTTCAGAGCGACAGAATGAAGGCACGCTCTGCCCACCATCATGTTCCTCCAAAATGCCAGGCTGCCTTTATCAAAAACTGCAAAGGACCATATTCAGCCATCCCGGGCACTCACATCTCACATCATCTGTCCAAATTTGCCCCTTTCCATCTGCTCCTTAACTGAGAGGAACCTCTGCAAAAGCCTGGCACAAGGAAACCCTTTCCCCTCTCTGAGACAGCACACARGATCTCCCACCCTGCCCATCCTGAGCCACAAACCCATCCTCGCTGTACCTGATGGAGATCTCAGCACCTGACCCATGGGAAGCACAGAGGCAGAAAGGAACTGCCACCACAAAGTTTGATTTCTCACTGTGTGGAGGACACGGCTGGGGTCAGAAGCACCCTGTGCCAAGGTGCCTTTAAYGCTSTGGCTCCCCAGAAGCGCTGCTGGGYGTTTTACRAGGCKGGGAAGGGCTGCACATGTGCCGGCTGCCCGGCTGTGCGGCGGATGCGCCCTCCTCACAAGGACAGGGCTCGCAGATGTGGAGCCCACGCAGCCGCCAGATGTGGGAGGGTTTGTCCTGCCTCCCTCCTGCCTGCCGAGGGTTTGTCACACAGGGCAAACCCACAGGGTTATCAGCATCTGCTCGGGGCACGGAGGAATCCTGCAGGCACCACAAACCCATTTTATCCACGTGGGAAAATCGGCGAGCCGAGGGGTAGCGGACTTACTCCATTGCGATTTCCTGAGATGCTCCCTGTGTAATTATCCCTGAATTAGTCAGGTTTTTGAAGTAGGGCTCTTGGGCCAGTGATATCARTAAAGCTGTTGGACAGTTTTCTCCAGGCAGGCAAAGAAAGGAAGTTTCTCCTGAGCTGAGCCCTCACCACTTCCTGCTCCTGTGAAAAAAGCTKGGGGRRRAAGCTTTCCCTGGATTGTCCCTCCRGCTCTGAAGCACAAATCTGAAACAATCTCTCTCAAACTTGAGCTGGAAGAGGATGTATTATCTTTTCAAGTTATACAGAAACCTTTCATGGCTGACATTCTCTGGCCTGTGACAAATGAACAGACTTCAGGACAGCCTAATGCTCCTTGCACCAGAAAGGGAAGTCCAGGAGAGAAGGAGTCTCAAAGCTGTCCTGCTCCCAGGTTTTCTGCACTCTGGGAGACGASCTTTTGCTCAGAATTTGTCTAGTCTTATTTTAGAACTAGTCTTTATTTTAATACTTAAAGACTAGTCTAGTCTTTATTTTATTACTTAAATTCAGTTTAAGTAATCTGAAGGGGGAAAAAATCCCCAAATTTGAAGAAGAAAGAGAAAAATATGAGAATGAACTTGAAAAAATCAACCTTCCAATTAATTTCTACTGGCTCTGAGGTGATGAAGGAGTCCACTGAAAAGCTGTCCATTTTAACCAGATTATTAACCAGAAGCATCAGAGTGGACAACCTTAACTTTGGCAAGCAGAGCTGCCATGGTCTCATTCCTCCTCAGCTGCATTTTCCTTTGCCAAAATCGTTTGTGGCTTGGTTATCTGCAGCAGCAGAGAACCCCCATCTTTGCACCAGACCCCTTAATCAGTGAGCATCATCGCAGAAACCGGGTSGTAAACACTGTCAGAACACTCCTGAAAAGGTGGAGTTAAATGTGTCAAACCGTGAAGAGACAGAGTTGATTGTGTCACCCGGGCTGGACTCTCACGGGAAAAGATCACATTGCTCAAGGATATTGCTGTTCAAATCCACAGAATTACATGGAATGATTCCTAGGAGGGAGCAGGTTTCACCTCAGCCATATTTCCCCTCTTCAAACCTTCCACACCCCAGGGTTCAAGGGGAAACTGCCCAGTTTGGCTGTCACGCAGCAAGAGATCACAAGATTGCTGGGATGTAATCAAAGACAATGGAAGAAATTCAAGCAGGGAGATACTGTGTATGGTACACACTGACAAACGTGCCCTGGGATGTCCCTGAGTGTGACGAAGTCTGAGCTGGAGTATTTTATTCACTCAGGGGAAATACTGTCTGGGCTGAAAAGGCAAGGCTCCCACTCRTATCAGCACATCCCAGATTTTATCTCAAAAAATTAGGTCAAAGGAGTAAAACAAGGGGTTTATTTTCACCTTTATCTTCTTGCCCCTTCTCCTTCTGGCTTTCCTTGCTASAGCCCTGCCCTTTAGTGCCTGTAAATGCTTTCATTGCTCAACCAAATGCTCCATGCAAAGAAACTCCCATCAGGAGGTTGCTTTCCTGTGGCATAAATGCTTGATTATTTMTGGATATTCTTTCTCTGACATATCTCTGCCAGCATCCAAGATCCACAAGGACCATTGTGACATTCCATGTACCTGTGGCTGTCCAGGCAGCAAGAAAGTGCGAGCACAGCCTTTCCCCACTTTTAAGATTGGTTGCCTGTAACAATTCCAGGCAACAACCTGTTGCAACCTTCCTCTTTTCCCTGGAAATGTTGATTTATAAGAAATCAGCGCTCCCGTTGACCCATTCCCCCCATAGGAAATGACAGGCATGTGCCAGGCTCAAGGAAAACTTACTGATGCATAAAGTCTGCCCCTCTTGTTCATGGCCAGGTATCTGCCAGAGAACAGGCCCTTGATGGCAACGATCCCGACGTCCACAGCAGTAATTTCCAGAATACCTAGACACAGAATTAGGAGTTGTGTTTATTGCTCAGGTGGAATATTTTGAGATTCATTTGCATGGCTGCTTACCTGAGGAGTRTGATCTCCCAGCTTTCACTAGCCAACATCAAAATCAGTGCAATAATGGGAATCAAACTACTATTTGAAACCCTATAAAACAGTGATGATGCGGGAATTGTTTGAGACAAGGTGGACAATAAATCCCAAGATGTCTGATTGAGACTGAACTCTTTCAAAAATGAAAAAGGCCTGACACTGAACTAGAGGTTCACTTAATCCCATATGTGTATAAAAAAGTTTAAATCCTCGTTAATGCTTAGGAACACAAGAGCCCTTGACTTACTGAAGCCGGTCACAAAGCCTCCCATTTCAGGACAAAGGCCTTGCTGAGGTCTCCAGTGGGGTGAAACAGCATTTTAGAGCCATGTACCATCATCATGAAAGGGACTTGTCATTTAAGAGGCCAGTGCATCCCTCCAGACAAGGACTGTGTGACTGAGACAAATTAAAAGCCAGGAGATTTCCAGGCCATCCCAGATGGGTCCTGCAGCACAAGATGTGTCAAAGCAAGGCTGGTRCAATATCTGCCAAAAGGTTTGTGACCAGCCAGAGGTGCCAGGACACAGCTGGAGGAGGCACAGCAAGCTGCTGTACATGTGTGGCTCACCAAGCCCTGCTCTCTCCACTCTCCAGCCATGACCTGATGCCTCTGTGCTTTCCAGGAGAGTTTGGAAGCGAGAGGTGACACCCAAACCCACGGCTGCTTCTTGGAAACCCTGCAGGCAGAGCCGGGGGTCTGCCCCCTGTGCACAGCTGGGCTGGGAGAGCTGTGCTGGGTTTGGTACAGCTGCTTTGAATCAGGCACGGGTTCCCTGCTGAAGGATGCCTCCTCCGGGCTGCGACAGTGAGGGGGGGTTCTCTAGGAAATAGTGGTTTTCCTTTATGGACTTCAGACAGATCCCYGAGGTCTCCCTATCTCTGCGTGCCATCTCCAGGCGGGATTTACGCACCGTGGGGCGGCGGGGCCGGGCTGTGCCCGGGCTGGGTGCGGGGGCGATGGGGGCTCCCCGGTGCTGAGCCCCGCTCTCCTCCCTCCCGCCGCCCTCGCTCAAACCCCCTCACTCCCGACATATCCGCTTTCATCTTAATTACCGCCGCTCCCCGGCACATGTCAAAGGGGACAGATGTGATTTAGCCGGTGGAGGCTCAAGCTCCCCGCGGGAGCCCAGCTGGGACAGGACKGGGCAGATGCGGGCGGCCCTAAAAGCGCTCCGGGATTGTCCTGGCTGAGGTGAAGGGCATCGCCTGCCCAGCGGGCCAGTATGGAACAGGGCTGCCGTGACAATCTCCCGGCACAGCGGGGCCAAGTGACAGCTCAGCGCAGCGCAGGGGTCCGGTACCCGGTACCCGTGGGCTTTGGGGTCTCCTTCTGCCCCAGGTCTATTACGAGCCTCCGCCGCCGGTCCGGTGCCCGCACCCTGCAGGGCTCGGGAGCTCCCGGCCCGAYTGGGGACAGGCGAGATGCTCATCCCGGGACGCCGGGGCGAGGGGAGGGGGCCACAGCCCCGACCCCGGGTAAGCCCCGCCGAGGAGCCTCCGCCGCCCCGGTCGGTGGGCAGCGCGGGGAAGCAGCGGAGGAGGCGCCCCGTGCGCCCCGTCCAGCGCCTGCTGCCCGCCGGAACACGGACAGGGCGCGATCGGTGCGGGCAGGGGAYGGGGATGGGGATGGGACCCCCAATTCCCGCACAGCCCGGCCTGGGGCTCGGCGAGCCCGGTACTCACTGAAGGCGCTGTTCTTCTCCAGGGTGCCGTTGATCCTGCCGCTGGGGTGGATCTGGAGGTGGTACTTGGTGGCACAGTAGAGCTTCCTGCGCCGGGGCGCTCCCCCGAGGTGCTCGTAGACGCCGCCGCGTCCCCCCGCATCCCGGCGCGGCCGGGGGGCGCTCGGAGCGGCTCCGGGGGGCTCGGGCACCGCCGCCGCCCGCCCCGGGGACCACGGCTCCTGCAACAGAGTCAGCAACAAGATCCAAATTATAACCATTGTGGCATGATGGCCGCAGCGCTTGGTCTGCTGGGGAGAGCGAGGCTCGCAGCGAGTGGCACCAGGGGTCCCATTAAAGCCGTCTTGCTAGCAGCACTCCGGAGATGCCGAGCGCACGCCGTTTCGAGCCGCGCAGCATTGGCAAGGTTTTATCAGCCGCGATCTGGCCCTTTTTATCTGTCTCAGATTTACTTAAATCAATAGACATCGGCGAARGCCACCGAAGAGTCCCGGCCGTTTGTGTTACACGGAGCTGCCGTGATCAGCCTTCTCCTTGGGTTTCCAGATAGACAGACGGCATGCGTGAGAGACAGAGGAGGAAGGAGGGCGGGAGGGAAGGAGGCAGAGACCCGTTGAATTTCGGCAGGAGACTGCGGGGAAAACAGTTGATCGACGGAGCATAGAAATAAAAGCTGCTTCCTGCAACAATAGCCTGATCTGCGACCAATTGATACAGAGCAGAGGAGGCWAAAGGTATCGGTCTCGTGTGAACTCCCACAGTGCAGCGTGGATAAAATTACACAGCATCTCTCCTTCCCGCCACCCCACACACCGCACACCCCCGCCCGCCCCGCCGGGGGCGCGGAGCAGCCGCGGACCCTCCGCCGAGCGCCGCCGCCCCCCGCGCAGCCCCGGGGAGGGGCAGGGGATGATGCTCCGAGCCAGCATCTTCGGGAGATGGCTTTGGAAGAGTGTTAAAGGCAGAGGAGCGAGGAAGGGGGTGGCGGATCCTGCCTCCCCGGGAGGTGATGGCCAAAAACACCCCCGTGGCTCGCACTGGGGCGGCAGCGTTTGCTCAGCGTGTGTGTGTGTGTGTCCCGCTCTGCCCCCGGCGTGGAGAGCAAACAGTTATCCCTAAATCAATCAGCTCGCGCTCACAGCAAATACGCGCTATTTAGATGGAGCTTTCACGCTTTCATCATTYCCAAATTAATTTAGGCAAAGCAGGGCCCAGCAAGTGTTATGATACACATCCCTGAATGCATTTGCAAGAAGTCGTCGCTAATCCTTCTCCTTAACTCCGGTGCCTGGAAAGTCTCATTAGCTGGAGCAGATCTGCCCTCGCTACCCTGTCGCTTCACACCGCTGCCTACGCTTTCAAAATAGGATGGAGCTACCTATAAATAAATATAAAAGAAGGCAAAAGGTYCAACAGCTCCGTGAATTACGCTGTCCCTGTGTGCTCCTCAAAGGCAGCTCGTTAATTAGATTTGCATCTGAAATAGGCGGTAGGAGTTTTGGGGAAGTGTTTGAGAGATAATTAGTATTAATGTGCTTGAAGGGCACACAAATACACCTTTGAAGTGAGTCACGTCACAATTCGAGCGTTTGACCTTGATATTTTTTTTTTTTTTCCCGGAACTGGTGAACATGAAGARGTCCATAAATTTTTTTAAAGACCTTCCTATGTAGATCAGGAGGATTTTCTTACACGTTAAAGACTTGTTTAAAAAGGGAAGCTTTTACTAGCGGGAAAATAAGGGAAGGGGTACGACCTTTTCCTAAAAGGAATGGCAGAAGGACGAAACTACCTCGAAAGCTGCTCCCTGCTTTAAGCTGTGCTTAATATTTAGTAGTTCTTCAAGACTAAAAGGCTTTTCATCATACAGTTGTCTGGAATAAAAGGAAGCCCATAAAAAACCCCACAAGCACCCTCTCCGCCATTACCACCCTTCCTCCCCCTTTTCTTCTCCACAAGTTAAGCCCCAGCCTCACAAGGAGAGTTTGATCTGGGGATGATAAATGTTTGTACAGTTAATTCTTCATTGCCTTAATCGTTCTCCCTACAATGCCACTGCCAGGCAGTCAAGTGCTTCCAGTATATTGATCGGAAATTAAAATAGCTAAAGCACTSTAAAGCCGTAAAAATACGAAAACCTTGAACAGGTAATGCAGGGGACCAATTTTGGAGTTTATTGGGGGGGAGGGGGTGGTGCTGTTTGCGGGCSAAATCCTTCAGTCCCTTCTAAAAGAAGGACCTCTCTGGAAACCCTTCCTCTCGGGGATGCTCCGTAAATCGTCTCCTGGGGACCGTAACCTCTGACGAGCTACGAGACAGCAGTGGCAGCAGAAAAATAACTCCTAACGTGCCACGAGTCTCCTGAAAGATGCTTTCACCGGCACCGCTTGAAGGGAAGATAAAACACAATTACTGGCGGTAATTACAGMGAGCTCTTTACGGCTCTGTCCCGAGCCCGGTGCATCGCCTGTGGATGTGCAGCTGACATTTCCCAGGTCGGGATTCACAGGGCGTTTTCATTAGTGCTCTGAAAAAAACCTCACACCAATCCCGCAAGATCCTCCTCCCGCCCCCCGCCGCAATAATAAACCCCAAAGACCAGTGGGTGGAAGAGTAACACGCTAATGACTTTTGCTCAAATTGTTTCCATCTTGATCACATTTTCATAATTAGCACCATCATCCGCAAATCTTTCCGCCCTGGGCATCTGCCGCAGCCAGGCTTCCCGAGCGATGTGGATTCTACTTATTAGGGAGGGGAAAACTTACAGGTCTATCATTAATGGACCCCTTTCAAATGAAATGAATCCGACCTCCACGGAAATATCAAAGGGCCGTAACTACCTCGYCTCGCTCGCTACAGCACTGAATAGCGAGCAGCCTTAAGTCGTTTTGCTCTGCTCAGACATCTCTACAATAAAACATAAGCCCACTCTTGTATATTTTGTCTGGTGACCATTTTTGAAAACAAAAAGGGTCCCTTTGATGTGGTCTGATTCGAACAGGGGGTGGGACGTCAGATGTGGTCTACCGAGTCTTTCTGGAAATATTTYTAATTATGCCCCAGAGCTCCTTGTAGCCCCAAAGTAATAATCAGAGAGCGGTTCGGGTCTGTCACTTAGCGCGGGGGGGAGAAGAAGCTCCAGACCGTATGTAACTAAATTAGAATTACAGCTGATAATGATCCGCTAATTCTCTCGAAATGGGTGATTTTTAATGGAACGCGGTGAGAATCTGTTATTCTTTTGCTAACGGAGCGTTTCTAAGGCTGCTCTCAGTTCAGCCATAAACSCAGCGTTGCTCCTGCGAAGTCATTGGGTAAAAGCGAATAGTTGAGACAGATGATTTTATCCTCGTTAAGCACGTAAAGCACTCGTACTCTGAACTAATTACCCTCGGAGAAGGAATACCTATATTCGTATGTGGACGTCGAAGATCTTTATGGAGATACCATTTTTATTTAACTACTACCTGAGTGCAAACATTAAAAAAAAAAAAGGGAAAACTTTGGAACCGCCTCTCATAGAAACACACGGCAACTTTAGCCTGTAATAAACTTCACAAACACCCATCTTGCAGCGATGCGAATCAGGATGTGCTGTTACTCGGCACCCGGCGCTGATTTACGACCGGCCCGTTACTCGAAGGAGAAGTTACAATTTGTAGAGCAATAAATACCGAGGCGATGGGTGGAGCCCCCAGCAGGAAAAAGAAAATCACTCTCCTTCTCCAATTAAAAATCCATCCCAGCTCAGTTGTGGAGCGTGGGAAGGTCCCAAAGAAAACAGGCGCGGTGCTGGTGAGGTGTTTGTTTGCGATGTGCTAATGGCATCTTCGGAGCGGAGCTTTCCTCCCCTCACACCTGCTGGCACCGGGAGCAGCCCCGAAAATCCAGCTGATTTTATTCGGCTGTATTTTGTTTGCTTTGTGCTGTCCTGGCGGGGTTATTCTGCACCCTGCGAACAATATAATCTTGTTTAAATGACTTTCCAGACCACACAGCATCACGTTACCCTGTTCTATAGGGGCAGGCGATGCTGTTTATTGTGTTGTGCACTGGTACTCCCGGAGAGCAGGATGGGGCAGGGTGGAGGAGGAAAGCTCCGGGGAGGAAATTCATCRCTTCTGAGATTCAGGTTGCTTTCTCAGGTGGGAAAAAGGAGATTTAGATAATTTCCCATGAAAACACATTGAAAGAAAACTCTAAATGAAATGGTAAACACATGAAAAGCATGAAATAATTTTTCCCGTTATCCACACACATGAAATGGTTTTCACTTTTAAAGTAACTTTTTATAGTTTATGAAAAAAGAATCTTAATTTCTTGAATTTAGGATGATGCAGTTGATTCTATGCATATTATGCCAGCTATTGCTATATTGCCCTTCAGGCAGTAAATGAGTTTACAAGTTCTAATCTGCTGTGTTTTGGTTAAAACATGAGATATAATTGAAATCTGTTGTTGTTGCTGTGATTATTGGTGTTGTTGCCATTATTGATATTTCAAGATGCAAATGCCTAAATTCCTTGCTCCTACTAAATTCCTACCAAAGCTGGCGAGAGTTTGTCTGTCTGAGGACCAAGGGATTAATCCTTTATTCAAAGTCCATGGAATTCACTAAGAGCCTTTTCTTTAATGCCAGTGAATTTGGATCAGGCCCAATCTTATTACTAAAAAAATTATTTTCTGTTGTGCTCTGATAATCTCWTAATGGTTTACTGAATAAAAATATTCAAAACAATGAATACAGCGACTTTAAAGAAAAAAAAACCCCACATTTTTTGCCCTCTRTTGCTCACTCCTTTTCAACACAAGACACAAAGGAAACAGTAGAAGAAATGTAACAGAGAAAAATGTGCGATGGTGAGGTTTACATGACCATCACGTGGCTTGGAGGGATCTGTGGCAGGCTCAGAGCAGGCTACAATGGGGATATTCAGACAAATGCAGAACTGCAAACTGCAGCCTCGAAAATAACCAAACACGGGAGAGATCTCCAGTCCAGAAGAGGAGAAAGGGAGTACCAAAACAATAGAAATGTAATTTGTTAACTTGGGGACCGTGTTTGCATACCTGCTTCACACCTTCAGTATCTCATTCATCAGTTAATGGCCGAGCTCTCCGAAAAGCTTCACTCCCTTTTTGTTGTGTTTTAGAAATCGGCTTCAGAGCCTTCCTTCCTATTTAGAGGAGCCTGGTGTACCTGGGAGAAATATCTGGCCCATCTCCATGATGAAATTGCACTTTGTGCCTGAAGGAC